TGCTGCTGCCACTCACGTTTGCTATAATGTGTATCCAACCATGACTTTTTTATATAACTTTTTAAAAAAAGATTTATTTATTTTATTACAAAGTCAGATATACAGAGAGGAGGAGAGACAGAGAGGAAGATCTTCCATCTGATGATTCACTCCCCGAGTTAACCACATTGGCCAGTGATGTGCCGATCCGAAACCAGGAGCCAGGAACCTCCTCCAGGTCTCCCACGTGGGTGCAGGCTCCCAAGGCTTTGGGTCATCCTCCACTGCTTTCCCAGGACGCAAGCAGGGAGCTGGATGGGAAGTGGAGCAGCTGGGATTAGAACCAGCGCCCATATGGGATCCTGGCGCATTCAAGGCGAGGACTTTAGCTGCTAGGCCACTGTGCCGGGCCCCGACCATAACTTTGAACAAGAAAAGCTAAGAGATGTTGGGGGGGGGGGGTGTTGGCATTTGAGCACTTGCCCCTGGAGGAGGCAGGGTAGCTTGGGGGTGCATGTGTTCCTCTTGGTGCTGTGCCCTCAGGCCTCCACAGAAGCAGAAACGTGTGCATGTGGGAGAGCCCGCGGGGCGTGCGGCTGCCCGTGGCCATGCTCCGCCCGGCTGTGCTGCTGTTGCTCCTCCTGACCAGGGGCATGGAGGCCTTCCGAGTCTGCGCCTTCAACACTCAACGGCTGACGCTGGTCAAGGTCGCCCAGGTGGAGGTGATGGACACCTTAGTTCGAGTATGTTCACTGCTACAGGGAAGCTGGGCCTTGGGGGGACGCCAGACTTGGGTGACTAGGAGCAGAATGCAGAGCCGAGGGGACTCGAGCAACGTGGGTGCAGATGTGCAGGTCACACTCCTGAGCCGCCATTGGCCTCAGTCACCTCTTCTGCGAAATGGTTGGGGTGTGGGTGGGGATGGCATGCAGGCCTTCCCCAGGTCCTTTCTAGTGCCATTGTGCTTTCTGGGCTGCGGCTGGTGAGCCATGCCACTGTTGGTCACACCTCTGCCAAGCCCCCGTGCCGCAGCAGCTGGCAGCAGGTTGGGTTGCTCTTGCAGATCGTGGCCCGCTGTGACATAATGGTGCTGCAGGAGGTGGTGGACCCTTCTGACCGTGCTGTCGCCCTGCTGCTGCGAGAACTCAACAGGTGAGCGGGCTTCTGTGTGTCTCTGTGCCCCTTCCAGGGCCACCAAGGCCCTGAGCGTGCACATCCCTCTGGTCCTCAGATTCGATGGCTCTGGGCCCTATAGCTCGCTGAGTAGCCAGCTGTTGGGGCGCAGCACATACATGGAGAAGTACGTGTACATCTACCGGTAAGTGTGGCGGGGACAAGAGCAGACTGGGTACAGCCGCCCCTCCTCTACCTCTGTGCCAGTCAGTGTGTTAATGTAGCACAAACGTGGGCCCCCCTCCTGTTCCCTGGTAAGGGAGTGACCGGTAGTGGGCTCTGAGAGGCTCAGTGGGATCTGCTTCTGGGCCTTGTCTGGGCCTGATTTTCAGAAACAGACCAGGGCCCTGGGAGGATGGGCTGTGCGCAGCAGTGGAGGGTTTTGGTATCAGGATCGATATGGGTGCCACTGTCAGTGAAGGGGGGCACATGGAATTATGTGCAGGTGCAATCTGTTCCAGATGCAATAGAGAGCTCCCAGGGAGCAAGCCCCTTACATGAAGCATAACCAGGCCCTACGCAGCCCACCTGTCCACGCATGGTCACAATGGATGGTGGTGCACACATGCAGTCTACCCTCATGCCGCAATAGTATTTAGCAACGACAAGGAAGACGGACCAGCCACAGGCTGCAGCATGGGTAGACGCAGAAAAGAAAGATAGCACTGAGACACACAGGTCGTGCAGTATTTTATTGCATTTGTATGACAAGTTCAGAATCCGTGAAGCCACAGGACGTCAGAGCAGTAGCTGGGGAAGGCTGCGGAGGAGGGAACAGAGAGGAACTGCTGACAGCTGCAGCACGTTTCTTTTGGTGAAGAGTGCACTAGGATTGCCAGTGCTGCAGCAGCACAGCTCGTGACTGCACCACACCCCCACGTACACTTTAAGCACAAGTAAAAAGATCTTTGGCATATCAACTGTATTGGAATAAAAGGAAGTTGTAGCCTTTGGGAAGCATGGCAGCTGGCTAGAAGTTCCTCTTGCAGCATGTCAGCCAGCAGCACTGCAAGCCCAGTCAGCAGCTCACAGCCACTGCTTGCCGTCCTCTGGTCCTCTCAGGTCCCACAGGACACAGGTACTGGACTCCTACGTGTACCATGACCAGGATGACCTCTTTGCCCGGGAGCCCTTTGTGGCCCACTTCAGTCTGCCCAGCAAAGGTAGGAGGGGACATGGGGGTCTGGTGTGTGGGGTCTGGGGAGCACACACAGCAGCCCTGGCTCTGCGCGCCTTGCAGTGCTCCCCAGCCTGGTGCTGGTCCCGCTACACAGCACCCCAAAGGATGTGGAGAAGGAGCTTACTGCCCTCTACGACGTGTTTCTGGATGCCTCCCAGCACTGGCAGAGCAAGGTAAGGCTGAGTGGCTGACAGGGACAGGATGTGGCGGAGCAGCTAGGGCCTGCTCCCCAGCACGGCCGCTCTCTCTAGGACGTGATCCTGCTTGGAGACTTCAATGCCGACTGTGCCTCACTGGCCAAAAAACGCCTTAGCAAGCTGCTCCTGCGAACAGAGCCTGGCTTCCGCTGGGTAATCGCTGACGGGGAGGACACCACAGTGCGGGCCAGCACCCATTGCACCTATGACCGCATCATCCTGCATGGGGAGCGCTGCCAGAACCTGGTGCAGTCTGCTGCTGCCTTTGACTTCGCCACGAACTTCCAGCTCACCGAAGAGGAGGTACGGGACTGGGGCGGTGCTTAGAGGGCAGCCCAGGCAGGGAGCCCTCCAGCCTCATGCTTCTTCCCACTTGCTGTCCCCAGGCCCTGAAAATCAGTGACCACTACCCTGTGGAGGTGGAGCTTAACCAGGCGGCGAGGAGCATCCAGCCCCTGAGCCTGGCTGCTCTGCTGTTGTCACTGCTGCCCCCTGAGCTGGCCCGGGTGGCCTGACCTCCCCGAGGATCTGCTGCCCACGCATGTGATGACACTACCCTGAGGACTCCAACCTTGGTCTCCCCCATCTCATCCCCCTGCTCCAGAGGCTGCAGCAACTGTAGCCTTCCTCCATTGGTTTTTAGTTTGGCCTGTGTGGAATTACCAGATAAAGCCAGGGGCCCTGGGCCCGGCGCGATGGCGCAGTGGTTAAGGTCCTCATCTTGCACGCCCGGAATCCCATATCGGCACCGGTTCTAATCCCGGCAGCCCAGCTTCCTACCCAGCTCCCTGCCTGTGGCCTGGGAAAGCAGTGGAGGACAGCCCAAAGCCTTGGGACCCTGCACCCATGCGGGAGACCTGGAAGAGGCTCCTGGCTTCGGATTGGCTCAGCTCCAGCCGTTGTGGCCGCCTGGGGAGTGAACCATAGGACAGAAGATCTTCCTCTGTCTCTCCTCTGTATAGATGCCTCATGCCATCCCCATTTGTCAGGCCACCAGAAGCGTCTGCAATGGAGGCAAGCAGGGCTGGAGAGGGTGTAGAGCAGCTCATCAGGCATAACAGATCCAAAAGATTTCATTATGTGAGACAAAACTGAAACCTTAACACTGGGGCTAAAAGCCAGAAAGGAATAGTACACCTGTGCAGCAAGTGTGCCAGTGGGGTTTGTATACAAAACTCACACAAATCAGCAGCAAAGCACTAAGATCCCAATTGCTGGGCCTGGCACGATAGTGTAGTGGTTAAGGTCCTCACCTTGCATGCCCGGGATCCCATATGGGTGCCGATTCTAATCCCAGCAGCCCTGCTTCCCATGCAGCTCCCTGCTTGCATCCTGGGAAAGCAGTGGAGGACCCCTGCACCCATGCGGGAAACCTGGAAGCAGCTCCTGGCTTTGAATTGGCTCATAGCTCCAGGAGTTGTGGCCACTTGGGGAATGAACCATCAGACGGAAGATCTTCCTCAGTATCTCCTCCTCTGTACATCCGCCTCTCCTCTGTATATCCAACTTTCCAATAAACACATCTTAAAAAAGATCCCAATTGCTACTGGGATGAAATAATGCAGTTAGTCAAAATCTAATTTACAACCGGGGGGGGGGGGGGGGGGGGGGGAGACAATGCTTTGATTCTTTGTGACCCAGCTGTGCCCGGCTCCTCAGCAGGGGTGTGTTCAGGCCACTGCAACCATGAGCCACAAGCCTAATCCTAGCAAGTCTCCCCTGAAGCACCAAGAACACTTCTGGGGACTAGCAGAATGACGGCAATCTGACTGCTGGGGCAGCTGCACCAGCTGAGCAAGGGCCAAGCTCCGACTTTCCCACACCCAAGGGAGCCCAAGGACTTTACCCACCTCCTTCCCAGATGCACAAACCTGGAGCTGGACAAGTGGAACAACTGGGACTGGTTGTTAGCACTGGTGTGATTCATTAAGCCATGGTCCCAGAGCTGTACAAGTGTTGGTTACACCCACACTTATGGTTCTTATCTCCCCAAGGTTAAAAAAAATCCTAAAGGACAGTAAGTAGAGATTACAAACACTAGGTCTGGTTAGAACCTGTGGGAAGCAAGCCCACAGATACCTGGGCTCGCCAGCACACCCTACATTCCCACAGAACCTCAAAATGGCTGCCAGCCCCCTCAAGCATCCTAGAGATGGGGATCTGACAGGGAGCATTGGCTCCTGTGGCTGACTGCTCTACTTGAGAGCAAGCAACCACCCACAGGCCTGAATGAAACCTCAGCAGCTTCCCGTGGCCCTCTATAGCGAACCATTGCATTCCAGTTTTATCTGTCCCTTGCTTTCAAATAAAGCAAGACAAAGTCCTTTCCATGGTCTATTTGCCATGCATTCTGCCTAATACCAGCTCTGGCCTTACCGTATTCTTGGTGGCCAGCCCAATTCTGAAGGAAAAGGACCGCAAGGACTCAGGCAGCAAACCTGCATGTGAGCTGAATCAAGACACAACGCAAGTCGACAATCAAGATTTATTTTGGTCAGATTTAGGAGCACAGAAGAGCAGAGGTCTCACGAGTGGAGAGCTCGCCACTTGTCCAAGGGACCACGGTTGGGGATGTATTTGACCCCACAGCCATCAGGGATGAGCCGCTTCTCGGCCACCATGTCTTCAAATTCATCCGCATTGAACTTAGTAAAGCCCCACTTCTTGGAGATGTGGATCTGAAAGGAGGCAAGAGTGAGTTGACTCAGGACAGGGGTCAGTCTAGTGGGATAAAAAGGCTGAAATGCTACTGACCTTCTGGCGACCAGGAAACTTGAACTTGGCCCTGCGTAGGGCCTCAACCACATGTTCCTTGTTCTGCAGCTTGGTGCGGATGGACATGATGACTTGGCCAATGTGAACCCTGGCGACTGTGCCCTGGGGCTTTCCAAAAGCACCCCGCATGCCTGTCTGCAGCCTAGATGAGGAACAGCATGAGGTCAGAAGCAGGATTGGCAACTTTGAAGGACTGTCTCCAAGGTCCCTTAGCGCAACCCGTACAAGGAACAGGTTGCATACACTACCAAGGAGAATGCTGTTTGCAGCCATTGCACACCAGGCGCCCAAGGCATAGGGGAGCTGGTCGGCTTAATTAGCTGCAGGGCACATGGGTCCTAACTGCTGTGAGAGCTGCCAAGAGCCACCCACCACCCTTTGCACCCAGCTCTCTGCCAGCCTCCCTCCCAGGCCTAACAAGGACAGTCAATCACAGGCATCTGGTAGCAGGCACAGGGCATGTCCCTGAAAACCCCAGGCAGCTCAGTGGGCTGTTACTACTGCCTCAGATTGGCTAATTGGACTCAGATTTAAGCAAGACCCCAAGGCAGGTTCTAAGTTGAGGAAGATGCTTGCGAATGGCCAGCCTACCTGTCAGCACCAGCGCAGGACAGCATCTTGTTGATGCGGATGACATGGAAAGGGTGCAGTCGCACTCGGATATGGAAGCCATCCTTGCCACAGCTCTTCACCATGTACTTGTTGGCACAAATACGGGCAGCCTCCAGGGCTAGCAGGGAGAAACAGGCCGAGGTAAGACTACCATTCCCAGCTCCAGGGCCATGGGTTAGCTGGGAGTCTGGAAGCAAATGCGGGGCTGGCGCAAGGCCTCACCTTCCGAAGAGAGCTGCTCATACTCGTCTGAAACCATATGGCCACACAGTGGGAACTCGTCTACCTTGGCCTTCTTCCGACCCAGGTCAAAGATGCGGATCTTAGCATCTGAAAGAGTTACAAGGCTTGATGTGCGGGGGCTGCCACAAGGAACTGAGCAGTGCCAAAGCAGAAAGGAAGCTTGCCCTACTTACCAGGGACACCTCGGCAGAAACGAGACTTGGGGTATGGCTTGTTCTTACAGTACCGGTAGCTGCGGGAGGAAAAAGAACCCCAGACTGGGTAGAATTCCCAAGGAACCGCATTAGGCCTCTGAAGGGGACAGGGAAAAGGCTGGAGAATCTGTCAACCTCTTCACTGGGTGCATTACGAGTCTAACGTAAAAGGCCACAGCACAAGACCAGTGAGACCAAGAAAAGCTCGAGCGCCTGGCTGCACCCACAGCTTCCCATGAAGGCAGCTACTTTCCAGCTTCCCCGGGCTGGGAAGACAACCTTCCCTTCCTGCACACGCGCGGGCCATTCGGCCAAAGTCCTCCAGGCACGTGGCCGCTACTCGGCCGCGCAGGGCGCCCCCTGGGGGGACAGGCAGGAGGCCGGGGTGCAGCTGCCGGCGGGGCGTCCGCAAAGCGGCCGGCAGGGAGAGCGCACGGGGCACTCAGAGTGGCGAAATGGCGGCCGACGCGGGGAGGGAAGGCTGACGTCGTTTCCGGCACTTGGAGCCGCACACGCAGCACTAGGTCCATGAGCCAGATAACGAGACGTGCTGCAAAGCAGCACAAAATGCCAAATCCGAAGGAAATCGGAGCAGAGTACAGGGCAAAGTCAAAAGCGTGCGGGAAGACATCGGGTGGACACAGGTGATTCTAAGACAAGAATCCGAAATGTGCGCGACCCCACCTAATGGCTATAACCGCCGAAGGACTTCACCTTCATTTTTGGAAAAGTAAAACTAGACTGCGAACTCACCACCGGGCGGGGCGGCGGCCCATGGCGACACCAGGATCTTCGGTGGCTGTAAAGAAACAGGTACTGTCGGAAAGGAAAACTAGCACAGGCCCGAAGCCACAGCAGAGAAAGCGCAAGGGTACCTGACGAACGAAGCTTCGCGAATACTCACCGCGCCGGAGGAAAAGAGGCGCTCCCACGCCTGCGCAGTCCTTATATAGTGGGCCTCTCTTCATGCGTAGGGACCATAGAGTCTACGCCTCGGAGGGCGGACGCTCTGTCAAACGTTCCGACCATAGACGCAATGCCATTCCGCGCATGCGTAGGAGACGAGCCGCGCACATGCGCAGGATGCAGAAACAAGCGGCGCCGAGGAGCTCCCGGCGGCCCGCGGGCGAATGGGGCTCGGCCACGCACGCGCACGCGGCGCGCGCTTCCGCCGTTGCCATCTTGGGGGTGGGATTCCGGCCGCTGCTTTCACACCAGTATTTCAAACTTTTGAAAAGCAAAGTGCCGCCCAGCGGGACTCGCGGAGGCCCTGCCGATGTTGTTGCGACCCCAAGCTGCACACTGCCGCCCTGAGTCTCTCGAGCCTGTGAGGCCCTGCGGGGACGTGGCGGCACGGCGTGTTTGGGCCATGGTCCTTTGTCAGCCGGAAGGCCAGAGCGGGAGACGGTTCCCGAAGGTTTCGATCACCAAAGAATGTGCGCACCCTTTGCTCCGAGCTAAGCTATGGCGTGGTCTAATTTTTTCATACTCACTGTTCTTTGTTTTATTTACGGTGAACACGACGGAACGCTCATTGACCATGAGAGCCACTGAGCAGCTGGGTCCCCTACACCCGGAGTGGCGCAGGGAGCGCGGCGTCACCCTGTCGATCCAACACTTGTCCTGGCCCCTGGCGCGAGCGCCAGCCCCTGCGGCTTCACCTGGCCCCCACCTGTCCCGGCGCTCCCTCCTGGCCCTGCCTGTGCGCCCCAGGGCGTGGCCCGGCCGGTTCTGGGGGCGATGGGGGGGCCTGCACCGCTCCTCCCGCTGCCTGCCCGGGCAGCACCCCAGGAAGGGGCACAGCTGAGGCCCCTGCCCTCTGTCGGGACTCCGGGCGCTTCCCGACAAGGGACGCAAAAGTGACCCAGTCCTCCCGTGCCCCTCACCCGAGGGTGTGGCCCTCCACCCGCCCCCCAAGCATGTAGGGGTCCCGGCCCCTGGGAGGCGTCAGCTGGGGCTCTTGCTCTTCCTGGCTTGGGAGACCCCGGGGAGGTAGGTCCTGGGCAATGGGTGCCCTGTCCTGCGCCGGCCCTGCGGGTGGGGCAGCTCCGGGAGGTTCCTCCTCCAAAGCCACAGGCCGGGGAGTCTGGGGTGCTGCGGCCTGGCCCTTCTCCTGGTGCTCTCCCGGGAGAGCGTCCCAGCGCCTGCCCAGGGGCATCACCAGGCAGCCCTGGGAGGGGCTGCTGTGCCCTGATCCCTGCTGGGCCTCATGGTGACCTGTTCTTGGGGGAACCCCAGATCTCAGGCCTGAGGGGCCCGGAGTCTCCCCACACACTTGCACCCCCTACCGCTGCAGGTGCCCAAGGCTATGTGGGGCCCTTGTGCTGTCCCTGGGCTTGTCCTTGCTGACATGTCACCGTGTGCTGTGGGCAAGGCACCGAGTCCTGGGTCCCAGGCTGCTGCTCGTGCACCCAGCGCAGTCACTGTGCTTCAGGGGCCTGCGATGGTCAGGCAGACGGTTGGCCTCCCGTGTCATCAGCACGCGCAGGCTTTTCCTGAGGGCTCCTGGCTTGTCGTGTCCCTGTCCTGCCCGCTCCTGCACAGGGGCCTTCCCCTTGGAGGCCATGCCCGCCCACTCCTGTGGCCGCGTCCCCGGTCCCACCAGCGAGGTGGAGGCTTGGAGCACCAGGGTCCTCTGGAGTAGCCCTGCCCTCGGCGGGCCGCTCTGCCTCTGGCTGGCCGTGTGCCTGTGGCAGGAGGATTTGATTGCTCCCCTCAGGCAGCGGTGTCAGGGTAGGTTAGGGTTAGGGTTAGGGTTAGGGTGTCCCGCTCTGGGACCCGGCCCAGCCTTGGCCTGCATCGCCGAGTGCCTCTTTGACCTTCGAGGTGTTGCACGGCAAAGCACAGATTGCGCACACACAGGAAGGACGGCGGGCCGGAGGCTCTGCCAGTTCCCCTAGCCTGCATCCCACGCTCTGCGACACTTGCCTGAATCTGGGCCAGCACCCGAGGGTTCTGGGTGGCCCTCAGAACAGGGCCCAGCCCTGGCTTGTCCCCACGGCAGCCTAGGCAGCATCGGGTACTGCCCTGAAGCGTGGGGCAGCCTGGCTGGCAGGGGTGGGGGCTGTGTCTCTGCACAGTGGACAAGCTGCTCTCAGCAGTGTGCCGGCAGGTAGCTGGGCCTGGGCTGTGGCAGGGGGCAATCTGGGGTGGGCGTGCCCACAGAGGACCCAGTGGATGGCAGAAGGAGTGCCCCACTGTGCCCGGAGGAGCACATTTGTATCTCCTTCCTGTAGGTGGCCCCACTGCTGGCCGGGACTGGAGATCGTTTCCTAGTGAAGATCTTCAAGGTGGCATACGGCTGCTGCGGGTGCAGGTGTGGGGACGCTCAGCTCCGGGTGCTGGGCCGTGCCAGGGTCCTTCCAGGCTGGGCCATTGGCACCCTTCCAGGCTGCCCCACCACACCTCTCGGACCACAGGACCGCAGGAGCACAGGCCGCTGGGGCTTCCCTGTAGCCCCATGAGGGCATAGCCCAGCACCTGTGTGTCTGGACCCAAGAGCCCTGGGATCCCGCATGCCCGTGCAGGCCGGGCAGGGTCTGTGCCCTGGGGTCACTGCTCCCAGTCCTTTCTGCCTCTCTCGCTGAGTGTGCCCAGCCTGCGTCCAGCGAGGGAGGAAACGCAAGGAGGGCCTGCTTTGCCCTGCCTCAACAGTGTCCAGGTGACTTGCTCCACATGTGGCACAGGCCGGCCTGCCCCGCCTGCCCACCCTGACTGCAGCAACCATCTCCATACTCACCGGCTCCATCAGGCTTCCCCCAGGGGTAGGCCGGGCCCCTGCTGCACACTCCCGGCCCTCCCCAGCAGTGCAGTCAGTGGGGGGGGGGGGCTGGTCAGTGTTCTACCCCGAGGGTAAGTGAGGGTGGCAGCCTGTGTCCTGGGAATTCTGGTGGAGCCCAGGTCTGCCTGTGCCAGGCTCCCCGCTGGTGCCCGAGGGACCGTGGTCCCCATTCCCAAGGCAGTTGCAGTTCTGGGGCTGCCTCCCTGTGGGGTGCATGGGACCTCTGGCTTAGGAGCTTAATGCTCCCCTCTCCTCCCTGGGTCATCGAGCACCCAGAGGCCAGGAGGAAGGGGCTGCGGGTAGCGGGAGGTTGGGGTATGCACAGACCAGCGGCAGGTGTCATGAAAGACGAAAGCGTGCCTGGGCACTACCGCTTGCTCTGCCCTGGACTCAGGCCAGGTTTTTTTAGGGAGGTGGGGTGGGGTGGGGGAGGGCACTCCCACTTTGGGGACCTGGGGGCAGGGAGTAGGTCTGACCACCCTGTCCTCTCCCTGCCCTTAGTGGGTGAGATGCAGCCAAACCTCGCAAGTCCTGGGTGCAGGTCTGCCCTCGGGTTTGGCACCTGTTGATGCTCCAAGGGCTGGGGGACTGAGCCCCCACCCTGGCCACTCTGGGCTCCGTGGCCAGCATGAGCCTGGCCGAGGCGACACAGCCCAAACCTGCCCTGCCTCCTCCGCCAGCCTTGTGGATCCTCCTGGGCTGCCCTCCGTGGGGCTGACAGCCCTCGCAGGGGGGTGGGTGGGGCGGGGATCCCCCTTTAGTGCAGCTCTTTCTGCAGGGTCCCACCCGCCGGTCCTGCAGGCACCTGGCCAGTGCAGTGCCCAGCCTCCCAGCCCATGCCCTGGTGGCTTGGCGTTTCTTCTGCCAAAGTTCCCCGGGGCTGCCTCAGCTCCGCTCCTCCCACTGTCCCCTGGCCACTTCAGCATCTCCTGCCCTCATTGCCCCTTGGGGTCTCGGGGTGGCTGGATGTTATGGAGAGGGAGACGGGAGCACCCACTTCCCCAGGCTCAGCTCTGAGACCCCTCCACCAGGAGGGGTCATGGGAGGGTCCTGCCAGGGAAGGCGTGGGACAAAAGTCCTCTTTGGTGGCACTGGCAGAAGGAGCGGACAGGAGACACTGGGCGCGTGCTGCACCCCCAGGTGCATGATAGCAGGAGAGGAAAAGGCAATAGCTCGGTAGCCCTTCAGATCTGGCTCTGCTGCCCCCACCCCGTCTCCAGCTGGGAAGCCTCTGGAGGCTTCTGGAATGTGCCGTCCCCTGCAGCAGCAGAACAGTAGCTGGGTACGTGGTGCGGTGGCAGGCTGGATCCAGCGCTGTGTCCTGCCTGCCCGTCCCCAGGAGGTCTTCCTGGGACAGGCCACCCCAAGGCTGAGGCAGCAGCTCAGCCCTGGGTGCGAGGCATGTGAGGGCCCCCATGGTGTGTGCGGCTCTTTCCTCACCAGACAGGGACTCTCAGGTGAGGCAGGCAGCCCTCAGAGACTAGGGATTGACCCACGTGTCCATTGCTCAGTCCTCTGTCCTCTGCACTATGTCCCTGACCCCCAAGGCTGCAGGGGCATGGCCAGTGGGTGAGGGGGCAGGGCAGCTGATGGAGGAGCTGGCCCGAGGGCTGCCCTTGTCCCTGGCTCTCGCCTGCAGGAAGCAGGCATTCGATGTCTGGAGCAGGAGCTGGCCTACACCAACCGATGCGGAGCCCATGGCTGCAGCAGAGGTGGACTGCTGAGCACGGGGCTCAGCCCCAGTACCAGAATGGAAAGAGGAAGAGGTATCAAGGTCTGCCTGGGAAGAGGGAGAGGGAGGGAGGGCAAGACCCATCTGGGCAAGGGGGGCATGGAGCTGTGGCAAGACGTGCCTGGGGAAGGAAGCTGTGAGGGAGGGCAAGGCCTGCCTGGGGAGGGAGAGCAAGACCCAGGAGACACCCAGGTCTCCCAAGCTCCAAGCTCCCCAAGAATGGGCCATGGGGCGGGGCACGGGCTTGAGCCCATCCCCTCTTTGCCTTTGTTCACAGAGGGGCCCTGAGCCCTACAACCCAGCGTTTGTGGCAGGGGCTCCAGGACTGACCACACAGGTCAGGTCTGGCCAAGGACCCCAGCTTGGCCTGCTGTGCTCTGAAGGACTGCTTAGAGGGCCCCAAGTCTGCACCCCCAGCAGGGAGCCTTCCTGACTGCGCCCTTTCCTGACT